GAGACCCAAAAGGAGCAGGGAGGCCCTGTTGTCTCCGATTCTTCCGCTGACTTGAAGTGCTCTTCGGCAAGTCATCTCCCATCTGCTGGAACCTTCCTGACTGTGCACCCCACCTGTATTTGATGATCACCTTGAATTCAGCCATCTCATATCCAAAGAGCTTCAGGACACAGGCCTGCTCTGGGGTCAGTACTTTGACCTTCTTGCACACCTTATGGGTTGGCCAGCAGGGTCACTACACCTCTTTGAGGGCAGTGGGCAGGCCCAGCTGCCTCAGCTGTGGCTCCATGGAATGGGGGGTTGCTCCAGGGGCCTTGGGTCCTGGTTCACAATAAAATTCGCTTTGTTCTCAGCTCAGGCATAGTTCATCTCCATGCATTTCATAAACCATGCATTCACCTCCTCCTTCAAGCAGCTGGTGAAAAGGAGACCCACTTCACCCCTCAGCTTCCTGTTGACCTGGTAAAGGTTATCTTTGTATTCATCTGATGTGGTCTGACCCAAGGCCACCCTCATCATCTTGTTTTTGCCAAAGGACATCCAGCTGTGTTTCCAGGTCTTCTGGATGTCCTTCAGCTTGCTGTTCCTCATATTGGCCACAGAGAAGATGAAAAGTTAACCTGAAGGTGTCCACACATTTATGAAACTCTTCTATTAGGTTCTATTTCAGTTCCAAACTTTTCTTGGCAGTTTTGGTTAAGGAAACTTTCTTGTCATGCTCGGATTTGGGCATTGTACTGAAGCCACATGCAGTAGAAGGCAGCCGAGTCTTAGTGAATTTGCAAAGTTGTACAACCATAATCACAATACAATTTTAGAACATTTTCATCACTCCTAAATAAGATTTCTCAAGTTTATTTGCAGTTACTCTCCATTCCTACCCCCCAGAACCACAATTCTTCACCCTCTTGGATGATCCCTCCCTGGAAATTTCATATAAATGGAATCATCTCTTACCAGTTTCAAAGTTCATTCATATTGTAGCTTATCAATACTTAAGTTCTTTTTTTATTGCTGAAGAGTATCTCATTTTACATTAAAACAAATTTTAAAAAATTCATTTACCAGTTGATTGATATTTGGGCTATTTCCTGTTTTAGGCTATCATATTGCTGTTTTAAACATTCTCATTACACGTCTTTGTGTAGATATGTTTCTATTTCTCTTGGGCACATAACTGGAATGAAATTGCTGGGTCATATGGTAAACTTATTATTATTATTATTAAGTTGGAGTCTCACTCTGTCGCCCATACTGGAGTGCAGTGGCCGCTCCCGGCCACCGCAGCCTCGACCTGCTGGGCTCCGGCGATCCTTCCACCGCAGCCTTCCAATTAGCTGGAACTACAGGCGTGAGCCACCATGCCTGGCTAATTTTTGATTTATTGTAGAGATGAGGTCTCGCCAAGTTGCCCAGATGGGTAGTGAACCCGCGGGCTCAGGCAATCCACTTACCTCAGCCTCCCAAGGCGCGGGATTCCAGGCTGAGCCACCGAGTCCGGCCCAATATTTGTTATTGCCTTTTTTATTATAGTCATCACAGTGGACATGAAATAGTAGCTCACTGTGGTTTTAATTTGCATTTCACTGATGACTAATGATGTTGAGTAACTTTTCATGTGCTTATCACCTATATATCCTCTTGGGAGAAATGTCTATTCAAATCCTTTGTCCATTTTAAAATTGGGTCACCTTTTTGTTGTTGGGTTATAATAGTTCTTTATGTCTTATGGATACTAGACCCCTATCAGATATATAACTTTCAAATATTTTCTTACATTCATTAGGTTTTTTTTTGCTTTTTTGATAGTGTCCTTTGAAGCACAAAAGTTTTTAATTTTGATGAAATAAAAATTCACTCTATCATGAACTTATTCTTTCGTAGACTATACATTTAGTTTTATAGCTAAGAAATCCGTGCCCACTTCAAAGTCACAAATATTTTCTCCAGTCTTTTCTTCAGAAAGTTATAGCCTTAGCTCTTACATTTCGGAATATCACCTGTCTAAAAAAATTGTAAAGCCGGGCTCGGTGGCTCAGTCTGTAATCTCGCACTTTGGGAGGCTAAGGTGAGTGTATTGCCTGAGCCCGCGGGTTCGAGACCCGCTTGGGCAGGCAAGACCTCATCTCTACAATAAATCAAAAAATTAGCCGGGCATGGTAGCATGCGCCTGTAATTCCGGCTACTCAGAAGGCTGAGGCAGAAGGATCGCCGGAGTCCAGCAGGTCGAGGCTGTGGTGGCTGGGAGCAGCCACTGCACTCCAGTCTGGGCGACAGAGTGAGACTCCAACTCAAAAAAACATTGTAGTAAGATAAGCATAACATAAAAATGAGCATTTTAGCCATTTTAAAATGTACAAACTGGGTGCAATGGCTTATACCTATAATCCCAGCACTTTGGGAAGCTGAGGTGAAACGATTGCCTGAACCTACGGGTTCAAGACAAGCCTGGGCAACTTGGTGAGACCTCATCTCTAAAATAAATAAATAAATAAATATAAATAAATAAATAAATAGTTGGGCATGGTAGTACACGCCTGTAGTTCCTGAGAAGGATCGCCTGAGCCCAATAAGTCGAGGCTGCGGTGGCTGTGAGCGTGCCACTGCACTCCACTGGACAACAGAGTGAGACTCCAACTCAAAAATAAATAAATAAAGTATACCGTACAGTTGCATTAAGGACACTCACATTGTTATACAACCATTACTACCACACATTTCCAGAGTCTTTTCATCATTCCAAACTGAAACTCTGTACCGTTAAACAGTATCTCCTCTTCTCCTGCCCCCAGACAACCACCATTCTACTTTCTGTCTCTATAATTTTGAATACTCTAAGTACCAGTCTGTGGTCAAACCACCCTGACCAGGCTGATATTGTTTAAGCACCACATATTAGTAGAGTCACATAGTTTTTTGTTTTCTGAGTTGGAGTCTCACTCTGTCGCCCAGACTGGAGTGCAGTGGCCGCTCTCGGCCACTGCAGCCTCAACCTCCTGGGCTCCGGCGATCCTTCCGCCTCAGCCTTCCAAGTAGCTGGAACTACAGGCCTGCGCTACCATGCCCAGCTAATTTTTTGATTTATTGTAGAGATGAGGTCTCGCCAAGTTGCCCAGGCAGGTCTCGAACCCGAGGGCTCAGACAATCCACTCACCTCAGCCTCCCAAAGCGCGGGATTACAGGCTGAGCCACTGAGTTCAGCTGAGTCACATAGTTTTATTCCTTTTGTTACTGGCTTATTTTATTTAGCATAATGTCCTCCAGATTAACACATGTTGTCAAAATTTCCTTCCTTTTTAAGGCTGAATATGTCTTTGTATGTATATATCACATTTTGTTTACTTATTCATCTGTCAATGGACATTAAGGTTGTTTTCAAAACTATTGTGAATAATGCTGCTATAAACAATGGTGTCCGAGTAGCTATTTGAGTCTCTGCTTTTATTTCTTTTGAATATATACCCAGAAGTGGAATTGTTGGATCATAATCATTCTGTTCTTAATTTCTTGAAGAACCACTGTGTTATTACCCATTTTAAGTTGATTTCATTTCTTAACTCTCAATTCTGTTCCATTAATCCATGCCTATCCTTATGCCATTACCACACTGTCCTACTGTAGTTTTACGGTAAGCTGTAAAATCTAGGCATCTAAGACCTCCATTTATTTTGCCAAGGATATTTTTGCTATTCTGCTGGTCCTCTGCATTTCCATATAAATTTTATGATTAGCTTGTCAATATCTGCAAAAAAGCACTAAAATTTCGATAGGGTATTGTTAAATCTACAGGTCAGTTTTAAAAGAATTGCCATTCACCACGTCTGGCTAATTTTTGTTTGGTAGAGGCAAGGTCTCACTATGTTGCCTACGCTGGTCTCGAACTCCTGGACTCAAGTGATTCTTCTGCCTCAGCCTCACAAAGTGCTGAGATTACAGGTGTGAGTCACTATACCTGTCCAAATTGCTATTTTAATAATACTGAGTCAATACATGAATGTAGCATTTTGTAGTTAAATTTATTCCTAAGCATTTTATTCTTTTTCACACTACTGCAAATTAAGTTTTCTTAATTTTATTTTTGAATTGTTACTTGCTAGTATAGAGAAATACAATGGATTTTTGCATATTGATATCGTATCCTTTAACCTTGCTGAACTACAAGGTTATATAGTTCTAGTTTTTTTGTGTGGATTCCTTACGATTTTTACATTCAGCATTATGTCATCAGCAAATACAGTTTTACATCTTCCATTCAGTTTAGGTATCATTTATTTCATTTTCTTATCTTACTACACTGGCCAGAAACCTCAGAAGATTGTTGAATATAAGTAGAAGGGTAGACATCTTTGCCTTGTTTCCAACTTTAGGGGTAAAGCATTCAGAATTTCGCTGTTAAATATGATGCTAGCTGTAGGTCTTTCAGGGAACCTCACCATTATTGATAGTGAGATAATGACATCTCTATCCATTACTGAAAGTGAGATATGATATTGGTGCCCAACTATTTTTATTGAATTATCTATTTTTCCCTTCAATTCAATCAGTTTCTGATCCATATATTTTTGGGCTCTGTTGTTAGTTGTATATATGTTTACAATTTTTTTAAATGTTCTTGGTGAACTGACCTTTCAACTGTAAAATATTCCTCTAGGTCTCTAGTAATTTTTTTTTTCTCTTAAAGTCTATTTTGTCTGATATTAGGAGAGCCATTCAAGCTCTTATATTACTATTGGCATGCAATATCTCTTTCTATCCTTTTACTTTCTAAGTATTTCTCTGGAAGACAATATACAGGTGAATCTTATTTTTATCCAGTCTGACAGCAACTCACCAACTGTTGACTAAAGAATGCCTTTTACCATTAAGGAAGGTAATTCTTTGAACCACACAAATAATTTTGGGGTGTGCAATAACAGAAGAGAAGACATTCCTCAGAAATTACTGGAAACTACTATGGTAACAGGTACAGTCATACTCTCTAGTCTAAACCAGTAACCTACCTCTCAGCCACTGCTAGCAGCCGTTCTGGCCTAAAGGTACCCTCGGTGTCAATGTACATGGCCTTTCCTTCACCTCCACCCCGGTCAATAGGAAGCTATAGAGAACCAAAAGAACAATGAAAATAAACATTGTATTTCTGATATAGCTGATCAAGTTCTCCATGATGTCTCTATAATTCCATCCATGCCCAGTAAGACAAAAGGAAAAAGCACTTTAAAATGACAATCTGGAGCCAGGCTCGGTGGCTCAGCCTGTAATCCCACGCCTTGGGAGGCTGAGGTGAGTAGACTGCCTGAGCCCTTGGGTTCGAGACCCGCCTGGGCAATTTGGCGAGACCTCATCTCTACAATAAATCAAAAATCAGCTGGGCGTGGTAGCATGCGCCTGTAGTTCCAGCTACTTGGAAGGCTGAGGCGGAAGGATCGCTGGAGCCCAGCAGGTCGAGGCTGCAGTGGCCAGGAGCAGTCACTGCACTCCAGTCTGGGCGACAGAGTGAGACTCCAACTCAAAAAAAAAAAAAAAAAAGACAATCTGGGATAGGGAGGAGGCAGTCCCTTCCAATAGAAACACAACTACAAGAAGATGTGAAGCTCATTGTGTCTCATAGCAGATACAGTTAGAGTATTTCAGACTTAGATTGCTTAAAAATAGTTCAAGGTAGGTAATAAAATTTTAAACCATACCAATACAAAGATTGATAAGTCAAGAGTGCAAACATTTGGGAGACCACTTAACTTTGCTTTAATCAATAAAGGGCCCTCATTCAAATCCCAATTAATTGTAGCATGTGTAGAACAAATTTATACTTCACTGGGCTTGTCAATGCCCCAGGAGCATCCATATCAAGTTTAAAATGAGAGCAAGAAGGAAGAAAAAGGCCAGGCATGTTGGCTCACACCCATAATCCCAGTATTTTGGAAGGCCAAGGTGGGAGGATTGCTTGAGCCCAGGAGTTTAAGATCAGTCTAGGCAACAAAGTAATACTTTGTTTCTAAAAAAAAAAAAATTTAGCCCAGCTTGGTAGCAGCAAGTGTCTGTAGTCTCAACTACTTGGGAGGCTGAGGTGAAGGACTGTCTCTGAGTCCAGGAAGTTGAGGCTGTAGTGAGCTGTGATCTTATCACTGCCTTCCAGCCTGGGTGACAGAGTAAGACCTCAACACACACACACACAAAAAAGAAAAGAAAATGTTCTTTGCACTAACAGTATATATTAATGTTAAAAATGAACAAAGGGATAATGTAACAGTCTAAAAAATAAAAGGCAAGAAAAGGGAAGAATATGAAATGTCATGAAAACTTTCTCATGAGCCACTCAGGGAAATCTCTGCTTTAGCCTACTCATCTCATACCAAACACCTTTGAATTCTACAATTTTTTTTCTTTTGAGAAGGGTTTGCTCTGTCAACTAGGCTAGGGTACAGTGGTATGATCATACCTCACTGTAACCTCAAATTCCTGGGTTCAAGTGATCTTCCTACCTATGCCTTCCAAAGCACTGGGATTAAAGGCATAAGCCACTGTGCCCATGCCTTTTAGAAAAAATGTAAGTAATGATGCTAAAGGGTAATTTCTACTCTAGAAATCTGCTTTGGAACCATAACTCACCTTTGAATTCTGAGGAAAATACCTTTGAACATTTTACATTAAAGGTCTGGTAGCACCAAGTTTCTTTCTCTATCATTGAGAATTTATTTTCTCAAAATTACAAAAGAACTATATACCTGTATTAAAAATTCAAACATGGCTGGGCATGGTGGCTCACACCTGTAATTCCAGCAGTTTGAGAGGCCAAGGCAGAAGGATCACTTGAGACCACGAATTCAAGACCAGCCTGGGCAACATAGGAAGACCCTGCCAGTACCAAAAAAAAAAAAAAAAAAAAAGGCAGGGTGTGGTGGCATACATCAGTAGCCCCAGCTGCTCAGAAGGCTAAGGCAGAAGGACTGCTTGAGCCCAGGAGTTCAACGTTGCAGTAAGCTATGATCATATCACTGCCCTCCAGCCTGGGCGAAAGAACAAACCCTGTCTCTCTTTAAAAAAAAAAAACAAAAATTCAAACAATATTGAAGTAAAAATCCATATTTTTTCTTTTTGAGTTTGTGTCTCACTCTGTTGCCCAGGCTGGAGTGCAGTGGTAAGATCACAGCTACTATAGCCTTGACTTGGTGGGCTCAGATGATCTTTCCAACTCAGCCTTCCAAGTAGCTGGTATTGCAGACACACACCACCATGCCTGGCTAATTTTTTAAATGTATTATAGAGACAAGGTCTCACCATGCTACCTAGGCTGGTCTTGAACTTTTGGGCTAAGGCAATACTCTCACCTTGGCCTCCAAAAGTGCAGGGATTACAGGCATGAGCCACTGCACCTGGCATCCACATTTTTAATGACATATCTTTAACTATTACACATTACATTGATGTAATACACTTTTTTTCCTTTTGAGTCAGAGGCTCACTCTGTTATCCAGGCATGTCATGAGTTCAGTGGCACAATCACAGCTTACTGCAGCCTCAACCTTTGGGGCTCAGGTGGATCCTTCCACCTCAGCCTCTGGAGTAGCTGGGACTACAGGCATGCACCACCATGTCTGGCTAATTTTTAAATTTTTTGTAGAGACAAAGTCTCGCTATGTTGCCAAGGCTGGTCTTCAACTCCTGGGTTCAAGCAATCCTCCCACCTCAGCCTCCTAAAGTTTTGGGATTATAGACATGAGCAACTGAGTCCAGCCACAAACATTTTTTGATGAAGCAACCATTTAAATTCAGAATAATTATGAAGGGCAGTTCTTAGCTTGCTTTATAAGGGAAAATGACAAAGAGTAATTTATATATATGATATCTAAATTTAGAACAGAGTTCCTAGATCTACTGCTATCTTATTGAGAGGATAAGAACTCACACCAGGATGGAAAAATATTAGGAAGCCTCTTCTATCACACATGACAAGAGGTAGATTTTGTTTCTGCTGTTCTTGAACTCATCAATAAGTTGTGTCCACGGCAGAAGTGAGTCTATCTAGATTGAAATAGTGTCATTCTAAAAAAAATAGCTAAAATTATAATAATGCTTCGAAAGATTATAACATAAGAGTTGATCCTGGGCATGGGCCAGGTTTCAGGGTACATTGTGGACTGGCCACACACAGTAGCATACCCTTAAAAGTCAGAAAACATTAGGACCCACCCAAAAAAGAAAAAAGAGCTTCCCATAACACTGCTTCAAGTGCAGAACAAAGAAAAGTTTGTTAGCTTTCTCTTCTATATCTTCTCTTAGACCTTTCATTTCCAGAGAATCCATTGTTACTTGTCTGTATGACTTGGTTCTGTATTTCTCATTATGCTAAACATTTTCATTTGGGGTTTCTTCATTACTTCAGACCTACCATATCAAAACTATAACTCATAACTCATGTTTCCATAAAACTGTCTCCCCTCCTAAGTATGTTTTAGGTTTACCAAATTACTGTTGGGTTGAGGTGTATTTTTTACTTTATTTATTTGTTTGTTTGTTTATTTATTTATTTTACTGAGAAAGGATTGAGGACAGAAAAGCTCCCACAGTGGGAAGGGACTTGAAGGGGCTGTCCAAGGTGCATTTTTTATTGCCAATCATTAAGTGCTGCCTTTTACATCTTCTACCTACATCCCTTCAGTGTCACTAGTTTAGTTTAGTCTTAGCCAGTTAATGCTCGTAATAATCACTTAAACTATCTTCAGTTCTAGCCTTTCCTTTCAATCCATTCAGTAGGTGGCTAACCAGAATATTTCTGACTCTGTTAAAAAATATTATAGCCAGGCATGCTGGCTCATGCCTGTAATCTCAGCACTTTGGGAGGCAGAGGTGAGAGGATTGCCCAAGTTCAGGGGTTTGAGACTAGATAGAGCAACCTGGCAAGACCTTGTCTCTACAGTAAATTTTATTTTTATTTTTATTTTTTTTGAGTTGGAGTCTCACCCTGTCTCCCAGACTGGAGTGCAGTGGCCGCTCCTGGCCACCGCAGCCGCGACCCGCTGGGCTCCGGCGATCCTTCCGCCTCAGCCTCCAAGTAGCTGGAACTACAGGCGCGCGTTATCACGCCCGGCTGATTTTTTGATTTATTGTAGAGATGAGGTCTCGCCAAGTTGCCCAGGCGGGTCTCGAACCCGGGGCTCAGGTTATCCACTCACCTCAGCCTCCCCAAAGGGCTGGGATTACAGGCTGAGCCACCAAGCCTGCCTATGTAATCCATTCTGTTTCCCGTTTACTTATGTTACGAATGGTAGCGTAAATAACGAAAAAAGAAATTGAATAGAGACAGAGAAGGGTTTTTCTCCTACTGGAGGAGATACTGAGCATATTTATATATTAATGAGTATGATCTAATAGAGAGGTAAACAGAAAAAAAATAGAGTCCTGGAGAAGGTGGCAGGAATGAGATGGTAAGTATATCATACTGGTAGGATGGAATTTTGAGAAGAAGAGGAACACATTCTCCATGGTAACAGGAAATTTTAAAAGGTGGGTAGAAATGTAGGTGGCTTTACAGATTTGATGCAAAGAGGAGGTTAAGTCACTGACTGCTGAGAATGAGGGTTGAAGACGAGAAAGTTGGTTTAAGAAGACAAAAAATGTGAGATATCTATTTGAAGGGGAAAGTATACCTATATAGAGAAACAAAGTAGATTAGTGAAGTGTTGAATACTAATCTAAAGTTTTGTCATCTTGAATTTAAGTGAAGTTAGTCAGCTTTATGGTATTATTTTTCTCCAGTATGGTCAGCTATTTGGGTATAGGCACTGAGAAGACAGATGTATTTCATCTAGGGTTGGGTATGTAAACTGAGGATATGTGTAAGAGAATTACTTTAATAATGAATCATAAAGTCTAGACTAATGAAGAAAGGGGCAGGTAAAGCCAGGAGAGTCGTGGTAAGTAAATGTTTGAAATTGATGATCTGGAAGTTTCCATGATATGGAAGAATTTTGCTATCTTCTAAATAGCTACAATATTCTTGAGGACAGAGAAAGTACCTTTTATGTTCATCCTAACAGATGCTTGCAACTAGCAAGAATCAATGAATTATTGCTGATTTGACTAGTTACAGTCCCAACAGCTCACCTGGCATGTTACAGCCAATGTATGACATATCTGGGTCTTCCCAGTTCGGAATTCTCCAAACATCTCTGTGATAGATCCAGTCTCAATTCCACCTAAAAGAGCAATAAGAAACACAATTTAGCACAATGCAAATATTTAGCAATTATAATAACAGAAATGTTCCAGGAGCTCATCAGAAATATGTTTACATAGATTGAAATCCAATTTCCGATAAGTAGTAATTTTTTTAAAAACCTATTTTGACATAATTATAGATTTATAGAAAATTAAAAGTACAGGGGGGTTTTATGCATTTTTTTTTTTTTTTTTTGGGGTTGGAG